ACACACACACACACACACACACACACACACTCTGTCTCTCTCTCTCTCTCTCTCTCTCTCTCTCTTTCTCTCTCTCTCTCTCTTTCTCTTTCTCTCCAATGTTGATAGTTTTCATTTATGACTACAAATATGGGGCATTTGCTACATGGTAGGCCAAGCTTTTTATATACATTATTTCACTGGGTCCTGACCACAGCCCAATAAGATTACTATTACTGGCCCTACTTTTAATGCTAAGTAGCATCCTACTTTTGATGCTAAGAGAGCTTGAATATGTTACTCAAAGCCACAAAGCCAAAAAATACTAAAATGTGTGCTCAGATGTGGATCCAGATGACCCTGAAGCTCAAACTTTTAGCCTCTTCACTAAACTTTTATTTGACATCATCAAATTGTTAATGTGGATCCAGAATATTACAGCAAAAGGTTTAAAATGAAAGTGCGAGCAAATACCCAATGGGGGTATTGGCAATAAATTGACTCACTTTTGGCCCAGCTGTCTCATCTCCCCTCTTCTTTCCTTTCTAGTGATTGGCAAAGAAAGAAAAATGTAGGAGCAAAGTAACAGTGAAGGTCAAGACTAAAAGAGAAAGCACTGCCTACTTGGGATTAGAATCTCTACAGCACGTAATTAGATGAAGAAGTGAAACTTTCACTTCACATGTACAGTCTACATTACTGGGCCACCAGACTAGGAAGAGAGCCCATTCATATGGACAAGGGTGAAATAGGAAGGAAGAACAAAGCAGACCATTACATTTTCTTTATCTTTAGATTTTATAAGAAACTTGAGCTCATCTGGCCTACTCAAGGCTGCTACTTTTCATTTGCCACGGAATTGCAAGGTTGTTGTAGCAAATTTATGACAAAAAATGGTTTTGAATGGAAAATATTGAAAACACATTTATTATTTACTTTAGAATGTCTTAATAGAGAGCTGCCATTAGGCTGAAATAACAATTGTTGAAAAATGGCCTTATGAACAGCAAACAGCACTACCATGTCCCTTGAGAGAAATCATGTTATTATAGCCCACGAAAAACAAAATTTTCCTCCCCAGTAACTTGTATGCAAATATTTCATTTTCCCCTAGTGTGTATCATTTGAATTATCCCTTTTACTTGTGTGTGTGTATGTGTGTCTGTGTGTACACACACACACACACACAAATGTATTTATTTAACACTCTAAATCTTTTTAAGGCCCTGGTGTTAATTATTTCGATCAGAAAATGCAAAAAAAAATAATGCATATCAATTCTGGAATATAATATTTGAGAAATGGAGATTATTAGAGGCAAATACAAGACTTCACAGAAGAAAACATTAAACTACTTATCTTGGATTTTTTTTCTCATCCAATGGATACATGGGTTGGGTCTGTATAACTACAGCCAGTCAGATCTGAGACAGTAAATTCAGTTATTCTGATCCACAGCGTTTGCTTTCCTGAAATACTACCTTTGGATGTCTGATGTGTATTTGTGCCTTGTTAGGTTGAAGAACAAATACTAATTTGAGACTACTGAGAGCCTGTAGACTCAAGAATACTCTTATAAGGAAAGCTGGCACCAGTTTTATACTTATGTCTTCATGGATAACTGCAATGTACTTTATTCATTTAATCAATGCAGACAAAAGTTCAAAATGGAGAGCTTTTTGTCATTGGCCAGCTGACTTGACTGCCTTTATAGATCAAACAAAATGGGTGATTGCCAAACCTCTACTGTATTTTATACCGAAGAAAACCAGTCAAAGAGGAGAATTGTCTCAGAGAAACTACTTAGAAGACTGACATTTTACAAAAAAAAACTTGACATTTAGAAAAGATAAAATAGACCAACTTATTGGTGAAGATATTGTATAAACACAGTCTTCTGGAAAATATGCTTGAGTCATTGTTAATATTTCATGTCCAAGTAACTACACAGAATTGAAAAGCAGATCACTTATTTTTTTTCTTATGGTCATTTGAATCTTTCTGTTTTGAGATTAAGCTTATTAAATCCATATTTTTAAAAAGTTTAAACTGTTCTGAAGGTAAACAAAATCATCCGTCTATTTATCAGTCTGATTCAAAAAGCATAAGTATTCTGAACAGAGTTAACAAAGGAAAATAACATGTAAAGGGAGCATGCAGTATGAAAAAAAATCTATTGAGAAATGAAGGGTATATTTTAATGCTTGACTTCCTGCATGAAAAAATGACAAGTTCATTGACCCACTGTTACCTTTTGTGAACGCTTAGATGGCAGCAAGAGAACTGTAGTTAAAACAGGGAGAAAAACGAAAGCCTAAGAAGGGAAAAACCTCCCATCATGACTCTCAGGAAGCACTTGCTATGCACAAGAATCAACCTTTCTACAGCTGACGTATGACTGTGTTTCAGATTACCTTCCATGTTAATCTCTTCCCTCACAATAATGGAGCTAGGTAAGAAATGTCATTCTTTTAAAAAATACAAAACCAAGAAATAAAGGTGAAAATGATGTCTTAAGCAGGAGATAATTTTAAGGTTAACATTAAGGGTGAAAAGAAGAGCAAAATATTCCCTTACAGAAGACTAGAAAGTCTTGGATGTCCACACAAGGTGCTTTTATCAGAGGTAGCATTTACTTTACATGTACTGTGGTGAATTTAACAATCTATGGTTTTTCTTTGATGAGGCCATAAATATTTGCTTGAAATAAAGATTACATACAGTAGGTTTATCTCCCATGATGACCTCAGTTTACATACCATAGTCTGTTGCAGTCCCATTGGGCGTCTTCCTTGTGATTATGTGCACAAGCTGAACTAATTAGTGTGGTATAGTTATTCCCTTCCAAGGCTTAATTTAGTCTGGATGTCCCTCTATTATGCAGAGTGAAGTGGAGAGAGAGGAAAGAGT